TAATGCATACATACAGACATGCAAACAAAGGTACCTACGTATATCTGCACATGCATAACATGGATGCACAGTTACATGCATGCATACCCGCGGGCATGCAGACATGCATGCTCATGTACGTGCATGCATGTATGCATGCATGGCATGCATGACACGTACATACACACACGTGCACATGCATGCAAACACATGTGTATGTATGTATGCATGTATGAATGTACATGTATATGCATATATGCGCATCTATACATACATACATATTCATATTCAGAGACATCGATGCCTTCAAGCAGTCTCTCCTCCCTCTCACAAGCGCACCCTCTACTCGTACAGGTAGGTCGGTGTAAATAACCAGTGTACGTACCCACAACTGTCTACAGCATACCTATACGAACATCTACACTCTACACGGCAAGCACAGTATTCAGCGAGCACCCTGCCCAGCCCTACCAACCTGACTCCCCCTTTCCCTCCGGTCCTTGGGCGATCTCGCGACGGCCAAGGGCCCGGAGGCAGCCCGTTGTCGATCTCCCGACCACTAGGCCGTCCTCGGTCGCTGGACCTGCGATGGGCAAACAATACAGTGCTTTTGGTTCTGACTTCAAGAGTCTGGGGTTGAGGCATCTAGGGATGGCAGCTTACGTATTCCGCCCGTTTTGGTAAGTTGACAGCGCGTGCTATGGGAAGCCGTGGCGGCTGAATGTCGTGGCTGGAATGTAAGCATACACAGCAATTACCATAAGCAATCGGTTTCGCCGCAGTCGTACTAGTCGCACTACGCCTACGACCACCACCACGACAACCACCACCACCACGACCACTGCCACTACAACTACTACAAGTACTGTACTACAACTACTACAACTACCACAGCTACTACGACCACTACCACCAACCCCCGCCGCCACCACCAAAACCACCACCACCACTGCCATTGCCACTACCACTACAATTACAACTACCCAACTACCATTCTCATAACGACCACTACTCCTCCTACACTGCTGCTACTGGTTCTGCTGCTGCTGCTGCTTCTACTTCTGTTGCTTCACTCCTACTCCTCCTCCTCCTCCTCCTCCACCTCCTTTTCCTGTTCCTCCTTCTCGCCATTTTCCTACTTTTACTGCTTGTCCTTCTCGTGCTCTTGCGCCTACACCTATGCAAACAAATGAAGCTGCTTCAATAAGTGCTGATGGCAGAAGCAGCACCGGTCAACAGTAGTAGAAGTAGTAGTGGTGGTAGTAGCAGTAGTAGTAGTAGTAGTAGTAGTAGTAGTAGTAGTGGTAGTAGTAGTAGTAGTAGCAGTAGCAGTAGTAGTAGTAGTAGCAGTAGTAGTAGTAGTAGTAGTAGTAGTAGTAGTAGTAGTAGGTAGTAGGTAGTAGGTAGTAGGTAGTACGTAGTAGGTAGTAGGTAGTAGGTAGTAGGTAGTAGGTAGTAGGTAGTGGTAGTAGTAGTAGTAGTAGTAGTAGCAGTAGTAGTAGTAGTAGTAGTAGTAGTAGTAGTAGTAGTAGTAGTAGTAGTAGTAGTAGTAGTAGTTAGTAGTTTGTAGTAGTAGTAGTAGTAGTAGTAGTAGTAGTAGTAGTAGTAGTAGGCGCCCCCCTACCAATTACCCTTCTTACGTACTCGTCTCGCACACATCCGTTTTGCTCGGTATTTGCAGCACTTTCGTCATGCAGGAACATTTTATGAAGCTTCAAAATCGACTTGCGAGTTTGCAAAATCCAATTCTGGACTTGCACTTTGGGGAGAGGGGTGGAGGGGGGGATGATGACGACATTGTTACACAAACACCCCGAACAACATCTCCAGAAGAGTCGTTTTACTCGGTATTTACACTACTTCTGTGATGCTGGCACATCTTATATGGTCACCCAGCGTACCTCTGGGCTTTGCGAACTCGACATTGGGCTTTGCGAGGGCTTTCGGCGAAAACTCGAACTTGGTTGGGGGGAAGCTTGGCTTTTACTCGGTGTTTGAAGTACTTTAGTCACGTAGTATTCCATTGCTAACCACCGTTCTTTAGTACCGTTGTTGTTTCTGGCAGCCTCGAACACCACACACCAAACACTTCAAAAGCAAACCCTCCTACGGCGAGGTCTGGGCTTTAAGGGCGTTGGCGAGCCCCTCCCACGTACAGCTGGCATCTTTGTTTTTGATGTTTAGAAGATGTTGCACTGCAGGTTTTAGGAATGTTTAAACCTGTTTGGCGGCACTTGCGTTTTCTGCGCGGTCCTTACAGCGTTTTCGTACTGTCCGACCGCCTTTGGTTTGGCAGCTTCTTCCCCGTCGAGTTTGCATCTCCAGTTGCTGTCGCAGTTTTGGGGCCTGCGACCGGAACCGCACCGGCCGTCACAGTTAAGGCAAGTGATCCTTTGCAACTTCTGCAGCTGTCACAGATAAGGAGCCTGAGACCCTGTTTCTGTGACAGTTAAGGCAAGTGAGCCTCGGCATCTTCTGCAGCTGTCGCTGCCGTTGTTGCTGATGTAGTTGCTGCTGTTGCTGTTGCTATTGCCATAGCCGTTGCCATAGCCGTTACCGTTGTTGCTGTTGTTGCTGCTGTTGCTGTTGCTGTTGCCATAGCCGTTGCCGTTGTTGTTGCTGTTGCTGCTGTTGCCTTTGCGGTTGCTGTCATCTGTACTGGTAGTGAACATTGTCCTAGTTGTTGTAGTTGTAGTTGCAGTAGAAGTAGAAGAATAAACCGTGCCGTAGTAGTCGTTGAAGTTGTCGTTGTTGCTGTTGCCGCTGCTGATGTCGCGGTTGCTGTTGAAATTGTTTTTGCATCTGCCACTGTTGTTGTCGGAGTCGCAGTATGTTAAGTTCATTTCAATCAGTAGCAGCAGCACCAGCCGCACGAAAACTAGAACCAGACATAACAGCAGCTGTGGCAGGGAGAAAATTTCACAGTCATCGAATATTCTATAGCGACGCTAATAACATAGGAGTGATGTCTTTACCAGGCACAAAAACAACACTGCTATTTAGCCAAGTCTCAGACATCAACGAGTTATAACCATACTACATAGCGATGGCAAGCTTACACAGTGCACAAAGATGCAAGATACTGCCACAAGCAGCACCAGCGAAATGTTTCAGCAACCCAGCAATCCCATTAAGCGAGATCGGTGTCCGGAAGTAGGGTAATCACGCGTCTTTCTTAGCTCGTGTTGCATGTTCGAGTCTCAAACTCATCGTAGGCTTAGATTGCACACACCAACCAGGCCTGTCTATATAAATGCAAAGACAATGTATGCGCCCTACGACAGATTATCGACTTCAAAAACATGATGGCATTCTGCCGCTGCGGGACGACGAGCGAGGTCTCTTCCGCCGCAGAAGCTTGTCAACCTTCGCTGCTTTTGGCTATGATGCCTGTTTCAACCTTGCTCTTCGTAAAAAGGAGAATGCTCCTCAGGAATCATGTTCAAGGTAGAGGCCTGGTTGAAACTGCCAGCATATGTCCATGGTCAGCATAGGTTCATGGTCTCGAACTTGCTTTAGTTGACGGAATATCGTAAGCTCCGGGGGCTGGTACGGGCTATGTGAGATTTTCAGCTGTGGTTCGTTTCGCAACGGTCCTTGCATTGCCCGCAACGCATGTTGGTTCAGGCATCGGCCTGCAGTAATGCATATCTGCATATCTCAGCGCAGCCTCACGACTCGACCAATCTAACAGAATCGACAATTGCATCTCCTCTGCTCCCGATACACCTGCTTTGGGGGTTTAAGGGTCTCGGAGAAATCCCTTTACTCTAAGACTACGACTCGACAGCTCTAAATCCCATACCTTCAATTTCCCGCATGCCTTGCTTCCACCAATACCGAAGCCGCCAGGGCCACCAAATCCAGTGCCGGCACCTGCTCCTGCCAGCTCTGGGCTTTAAGATTTCAAGACGATTCGATCCTCTGGGGATTCTGGTGTGTGTTGGTGTGTTTAGTCGGATCCTCACTATACGGAACCTCAGACAAGGGAACCACTTTGCTCCGAAACCTCCAATGGAAACCCAAGGCCCGAAACTGCTACCCGATCCAAGAGACGGTCATCAAGCTGTGGCTGCAGTTTTGAATCACAGCTTCAGAGAGTCCCCATGCTGCATCTCCTCATCGGACGAAGAGCTAACCCAAATTCCTGTACTCTGATCGCAACCCGAAGCAAACCCGCACCCAAACCCCTAAAGCCCACACCTTAATCAACAGCGAACCCTCATGCTGCGAACGCCGAAAGCCTGCGCTCGCTTCAGGCGGCGGCTGCGCAGGTAGAGAAGCTACCTGTGGGTTTAGGGGTGTTTGGGTCTAGGGGTTGGCCTTTTAGGCTGAAAATGTTGCGACTAGAGGTTCCATGCCGATGCCGATGGGATGTAGGATGACGGACGGGCCATTCCGAATGGAGCAGGACTCAGAGCATCTATTAGCACATCATCTGTATCAAGATTGTCGAGGACAGCCACAAGAACGCACCATTTCATTGTCGAGACACACACACACACACACCACATGCAGACAGATGCTATCTGATAATGACACGCAAGCGAGAGAACAGCGCTCACCGACCCGCAAAATGATTGCGACCTGTCTGCCTGTGCCCGGGTTTGGGGATGTGTGGGGGTGGGGGTCGGAGTTGCTTTAGGAATGGTAGCGAGAAGGTGCTGGTGATGATCACAACTCGCAAAGACACGATGAAGACAACGATAATGAATAGTCACAGCCAGGCTGATCATGTCGTTGATGATCTTGTTGGTTTCGAAGACGTTGACATGCTGCTGCTGCTGCTGCTGCCGGCGATGGTGGCTGCGGTGGCGGCGGTGAAAAATCTCAACCTCAACCTGGTACTGCGCAGAATGCATGCCAAGCTCTGTCATTCACTCGACAGAAACCTCCTTCGACAGCATCTCACGCCCCAATTGTAGCTTCCCAACACCTGACGCCCCAACTGTGCTGGCTCTTCTTGTCATTATTGCTTCTGGTACTTGTGCTGGTACTCGTGCGTGCACACGGTTTCATGTTTACCGTGAAAGTTTCGCAAGCCCGGCTGCCGTCCCCTTCGCATTCGCCGCAAGGAGGGAGCTGGAATTCATCCGCTCGGCTCCTACTGCAACATCGTGCGACCTCAGCTTCGGGTTGAGGCGCGTGTTCCGGCTTTTTTGGGGGGCCAGCTTTACTGCAGATTGTAGGGGTGTCGGTTTCCAGGATGCAAGGCATCGCGAGGCTTTCGGGTTGTGGGACATTGCCGCATTGCCTGCGTCGCTCTATCGCAAGCGTGACTGTTAGGTGAACCGCGACGGTAAACGGAAGATAATGATTCTTGCGCTAGAGAGCGCCTTTCCATGACTTAATCGAGCAAACGATCAAAACTTTGGGCAGTCCCACGAGGTTTAGGTCAACTAAAGGACATCGCCGACTCCTACCAGGTACTCGCCTTGAGCTGTAAAATCTTTTTGTCGGGGAAAGTTGATTGGGCCCCTATAGGCTCCACGCCTTGAGCAGGAAACTTCCGCAACCCCATAGCCATAATTCGAGCCCGACTGCCGGGACTTCGACAAAACCCCTGGCTTGTAAGGGCCCGTGCAGGACTTATGCTACCGCCCTTGTAGTATACCCGCTTATATATATATATATATATATATATCTATATATATATATGTATGTAAGATTATAAAGTCTATAGCCATGCTCCAACTGCAGGCCCGGAAGTTGTCAGAAGGGGCTTTCTTTGGGTATCACAGATTCCGAAGCACACTATGTTTCTCAATATTTGGGGTTTCGGGTTTGGATTTACAGGGGTCAGCAGGATTGCGGCATGAAGCAAAGCTGAGCAATCAGAGCAATCAGAAAGTGGCGGGTGCCAAGGACATGTTCGTTTGGAGGATCATAATGTATCATGACTAGTAGTTGTACTTGTTCAGGCCCCTAGAAATGGAAGCACATTATGTAAGGATTTTTTGTTTGTCTTGGTGAATTTGTTTTGTTTTTGTGCCTTTGCTTGGTCTGAGGGGACGGGCGGGAGGGAGGGAGGGACGGAGGGAGGCAGGGGGGTCGATTTTTCCTAGGGAAACACGAAGTCCCTCACATTTTTGACGGATTTGGTGCCATTCCCCGTAGATTTTCCTCAGGAAAACGTACGTTGCATTAAGGAAAACGTAGGTTACCTATGTTTTCCTAGGAGAAACGACAGTTGTCCATACATTTTGCACGGATTTCGTGCCATTTCCACGTTTTACTGACTAAAACCTATGTTACCTTGGTCGTGGTTGTGGTTGTTGTTGGTGTTGTTCTATTTATAGTACTCTTCATTGTTACTATTGTCGTTGGCGGCGTCGTCGTCGTTGTTGTTGCTGCTGTTTTGGTTGTTGTGTCACTGTTGTTGTCGTTGTTGTCTACTACCCTAATTTTAGTAGAGCTTAAAGAAAGCAGCAGGGTCTGCAGTTCAAAAAAGCGGGGGGGGGGATAAGGGGGGGGGGGGGGGAGAACACAGCAAAGTTTGCAGTTTAGAAGAAGCGGGGGGGGGGGGGCCCCCGGCCCCCGTTTGCAACCTTCCAAAACTGACTTTGTTCGCTCGCTTTTAGCCCCTAAAGCTATTTCGTGTGGCTTATCCATCTTGTGTGTTGGAGAAGACGCTTGTACTCATTTATTCGTTTTACAAAGGAGACTGTCTTTCACTTTACTTTGTTTTCTGGCTTTTTCACCCCCCAGCGAATACGTCTGGCTTACATTTTCTTGCCTGTCGGTGAAGACGTTTCATTCATGGTTATTCTATCTTCTTCGCTTATTTTAACCCCTGCAGCATTTTCGTGCGGCGTTCTCCTTCTTGCGTGTTGCAGAAGACGTGTTTAGTCATATTATAAACAGATTCATGTCTCCACGGCTTAAGAGAGCGGGGGGGTTCGGGGGGCGCACTCCCCCCCCAATTTGCAACGAGGGGTCCCCTTCGGAGAGGGCTTCGAAGGCAATTTCGCAAGGGAGTTCCTTTGCGTGTTGGAGAAGATGTTTTCATTCTTTAGTACTAGTAATAGTAATAGTACGAAAGCAAGGCGTTAAAGCAGAGCAGCGGGGAAGCAGAGAAGCACAAAAGCTGAAAAGCAAAAGGAAATCAAAGGCAGAGGAAAGCAATCACCCAGAAAAAAAAACAACAAGCAGTCAAAGCAGGGAAGAGCAGCAAGCGAAAACAGAAAAAGAGAAAAGCGAAGCAAACAATCAGAGAAGCAGAAAAGCACAGAAGCAAGAGAAGAGGAAACACAGAAAAGCAGAACAGCAGAAAAGCAGCGGAAAGCAACAGCAGAGGAAAGCAAACGCACACAAATCAAAAAAACAATATTAAAGCAGGGGAGAGCTGGAAGCAAACACTGAAAACCAGAGAAAAGCGAAGCAGACAATCAAAGAATCAGAAAAGCAGAGAGCGGACAATCAGAGAAGCAGAAAAGCAGAGAAGTAGAAAAGCAGAGGAAAGCAAAAGCAGAGGACAGCAAAAGCACAACAATAAAACACAAAAAGCAAAAAACATACTAAAGCAGGAACGAGCTGCAAACGAAACCTTAACGGCACAGAAAAGCGAAGCAGACAATCGGAGAGGCAGAATACCACAGAAGCAAGAGAAGCGGAAAACCAGAGAAGCAGAAAAGCAGAGAAGCAGAAATTCAGAGGAAAGCAACAGCAGAGGAAAGCAAAAGCACAAAAACCAAACAAAAAAAAACAATACTAAGCAGGGAAGAGCTGGAAGCAAACACTTAAACACAGAGAAAAGCGAAGCAGACAATCAGAGAAGCAAGAGAAACAGAAAAGCAGAGAAGCAGAAAAGCAGAGAAGCACAAAAGCACCGGAAAGCGGAAGAGCACAGGAAAGCAACAAGCACAAAAACCACAACATACCTAAGAACAAATACAAATCCCCGGATAAAACGGATTGCCTAGAAATCTGTTCATGGTATGGCTCCACGGTTTTCGACAGTACACACCCGTCATTGCTTCCTCGGCGTCCCACACCAGCGAAACAACACTATTGCAATAGTCCGTGAAACCGAAACACTGAAGCGACAACTGTTCGATCAGCTGGGATCGCTGCCACCGGCACTTGTCCCCCCATGTGCAGGTACCTGGCTGTCGCTTTAGGGTTCCGGTTCCTACTCATCCCTAGCCAAGAGGTTGGGACTGAGGAAGTCTGCAGTCTGCACATGAAGCCACCTCTACTCCAAAATAGACAGACTGTCTTTTTAACTCTGCATGATCAACTGAATTCGACATCATTGTAGGGTCCCGATGACTCCTGGACAAGCGTTTCAGGTTGAGGCAGGGGCCAATCCTGAATTGCAACTTGAACACACAAACTCTTGAAGCCATGAATCCCGAAACCATCAACACAACGGGTTGCAGAGTCTGGGGTTCAGGGAAGTTCAGGGTCTCTCCCACCCCACCCACCTCCCCCAAATGTTCCTAAATCCTAAGCCAACCACAGCCGTGCACCTGCGCGATAGTTGAAGCACAGCTGATTTGGGTTCAGCTCCTTCCTCGGCTTCGTGTCGCTTTCGAAGCAGGGTCCAGGGCTTAGATAAGTTGGTCCCCGAACTGAACCCCAAATTGCCCACTCCGTGCATCCGGAACCTGCTTGGGATAAATTTCAGACTACGCGCCCCAGGCTCATGGCTTCAAAGACTGCAGGGGCTCTGCAGCTTCAACGTCGCTAAAACAGTTAGCCTTGACATTTGGGACTTAGGGCCAACAATCAGCCTAAACCAACCTGAATACCACTACAGGGGAAGCGAGGGTTGTCGTTGCAAACCCGACAGGCCAACTCTGAATTCCAAAACATGTTATGACATTTTGGTCTCATATTTCTGAATTAACACCTTGACAGTTGACTAAAGCCAAAATCTCGAGCTTGTTCGGGGATGTCATTGATGAAGTTTTCAGGTCTTCGCGGGTTAGTGCATCCAGTAGAGTTGTTGGAACAGAGGCTTCGATGATTGTCCTGTCCTCCAGTGATATCTCAGCTCCGGAGTCCAAACCCAAACTCCACAGTCCAACCCTCTGAGGCTCGGCTCGGAAGCTTCTTCCGAGCAGGCTGCAAAAAGCTGCTGTTGTGAGCTTTTGAACCCTGAGATTACATGAGTACGCTAGTGTTCTGTGAGCCTCCTGCTCAAAATGCTCCTGAAGTACGTATCCGATCATTCACAATAATCCTCCAAACATTCGGTGAGCAGCACCATTCGCTTCTCACAGATGCACAGCCCCCCTCGTCCCCTCCCCTATCGAAAAAAACAGAATAGATAAACACACAAGGCTACTGCCCTACTGCTTCCCTGTCATCAAACAGGACAGAAACCTGAAACCCAGCAGGCCTGCCACAAACTCCCAAACCGAGCTTCTGGATGTCACCCAGCTTGACTACCAGGAGACCACTCGGATTCCGAGCTTTCGAAAGGTCCCTGGTTTAGGGCAATAGCATTTAGCCGGGTTTCAGGGTTTACATGCTCGTTGGTGAGCGACCTTGTCAGGTTGAGTGTTGCAAGGATTGCTCCAAACAGCCCAATGTGAACCCCAATCCCACTCGGGATTTCGAATCCAGCAGGTCTCCACCTGTTGTGTGGGTTCCAGGTGCTACTCAGACCTTGTTGACTTTAGTGTCGGTGTCAACATCTTCCTCGAAGCTGTAAGTTTCGAGTATTGAATTGCCGGGTCAGTTGACCCGGAGCTGCGAGCACAAGGGTCCGGGAGAAACCTTCGATCCCGACATCTAGCCCAGAACAAACCGACTGATTTGAACCCGGGAAATCCCTTATTACACCTGCAGCCTAAACTCCTAAACCCAAAAAGAAACTCCACATCACGGGTTGTTTCGTCGCGTTCACGCGGCATGTTTCATCGTGCTGAAGGCAACCTGAAGGTGTTTTGGGTTCGGGGTTAACATCAAGGGTCCGGAATGGAGATTGTTCTGTTTCTGAAAGGCTCTGGCGCCATAATATCGCTGACACTTGTGCTAGCGTAGAGTCTTATAGAGCACCACGACGACCTGACCACGAAGACGACCAGCAGGACCACCGCACTGCGACTACGACCAGGACCACCAGGGGCAGGAGACCAGCAGTAAACCCAGGCCAACCGGAGGCTACCAAGAGACCACCAGGCACCTGAAGACCGCCAGGAGACCAGGGTATGCCTCTCCCATGTACTAGGGGGATTCAGAAACGCGTCACCACAGCGGTGCCTGGTGGAACCTTGAGTGTGCTCGGGCACAGCTTTCCCCATGTACTGGCGGGATTCAGAGACGCCTCTCCGCAGCAATTTTTGGCAGAACCTTCAACGTGCGCTGGGGCGCCGACCAACCAGATCTCTTTACTCGTAAGGTTAAACGGTTAGAACCCCAAATACGATTGTTCGTCGTGATGCCGATGCCCTGCCTGTTCATCTCAGCCAAGTCTTGCCGCCACTCCTCCGGCAGGGGCAGAGTAGCAAGCAATCGCGCAACATCGAATGCGGCCGCTTTGCTACTGCTGCCACTACCACTTGCCACTGCTACTGCAACTGCTGCTGCTACTGCCGCTGCTGCTGCCGCCACTGCTGTTGCTGCTGCTCCTGCTGCTGCTCCTGCTCCAGCTGTGGCTCCCGTTCCGGCTGCAGCTACTGGACGGGGACTGGCACTGGCACTGGTAGTACTGCTCCTACCACTGCTACTTCTATTGCGACAAAAGCGACAACGAGCGCTCCCAAAAAGTGTTACCGAAACCTGCGCTCGAAAGCCTGTACGAGACGCTGCACAAGGTGCGCCCACGTTCGTCTAGGTGCATGATCCCTAGACTTCCTAAGCCTTGACTCCGGACGACATCACCAACCCTCTACATCAGAAGCCGCTGATGGAAAAGCCAATGTTAATGCTTACCTTCAGCTCGAACACATATTGAGTCGAAGAGGTCCAAATTTGGCGTGTCTCACTGGGATTAGAGGCTTCTGGGAACAAACTTTAGGATGAGCTGTTCGGCTTCGGGCAGGACTATAGCATGTGCCATCTGACTGTTGGCTTGGTGACTACGAAGAATGGAAACCATTGGACCGGAATCGTTCTGGAGTGCACACGGAAACACTCAAACTACGGATGCCCAAAGCCCAAAACACCGCCATTACGACTTCCCTGCATCTCACCTGTCCCTTCTCGTTTTCACTTAATGTCAAAGTTCTTGTAATAGATCCTGGTAATACAATGGCCTTCCCCAAGCAAAACTATTCTGATACGCAAGCAAATCAGGCAGTCCGGATCACCGCGCTTTCGCAGGGTGTCCATGACCTTTGTCTGCAAACCTGGGTAAAGCGCAAAATCTTCCTGGAGCAGAACTGCTTATGAAGATTGAGGCTTGACGGTTTAGGGTTGGACGAGATACTTTCTTCACCACCGTTTCAAAGAAATGCAAACACGCATGAGAACTGTCTTGGGCCTTTGCCGCACAGCTCCTGTCATCCACCGGTAGCGTACCCCTCGAAGTTTGAACCCTGTGCCATGCAGAGATGGTGATAGCGGCAGCCCAGAAACGCTCTGTCAGTGCGAAGCGTGTGCAGAAGGCCTGCGCACTGTGCACAGCTCCCTCCAAAGGGCTGATCTTTTGAATGCGGGGGTCCGTAATTATAGGATTCTAAAAACAAGCTTTCCAAACAATTGGGCCACAGGGCCACAATTGTGAGTGATTACTCATCTTGTAGCTCGCCAAGTGCCTATTCGCACCCAACCCGAATCGAGTGAGACCCTGAACGCAAAACCTGAATGATGCGTTGTGAAAATAAAACGGAGGGGTGCAGGTTCTTGCTCTCAGTGCTTCGTCCGTTTGCAATCATTTCTGCACGTTGACCATTGCATCTATGTTGTTGGCCTTTGAGGGGGTCGGCCAACGGCATGGAAGGATCAGAGGATCACATGAAAAGCTGTGGACCCTTCAATGCCAGACCAACCCGTGGATTTCGAGTTAAGTCAAGAACCTGCGCCATCCCAGTAGCCCTGCTCATGACCAGAAAAGGACAAGCTCAACAAGTAGATCACTCGTCATTGACTTGGTGTTACAATGTCACTTTCTTTATTATACATACCCGCCTCAGTTAAGAAAACCTGGCTCAAAAACAAACAGATCAGCTTTTTTCATTCAACAGTTACACCTCACCGCCCGGACGATCGGCACGGCCTATCCGAAGCAAACGAAGGCCCAGAAGAACAAACCGTCGGCATTCCCATTGCGCGCACACACATACCGAGCTTTCGCAAACAAGGCCTTGACTTCTGGAAGGAGGTCGCCAGTGGGCAAGATCAGGGCCTTTCCCTTCGGCGTCTCAGATGGTAGACTTTGCGGTTTGGGACTTTTAAGGACTTATTAAGGCTATCACATGATCACATCAGACACAGCCTTGTTCTGGTTCAAGAAAGCAGGTGAACTAGCGGTAGCCACGCTGGTATCCGGGGCTGCCAATTGCTGGAGAGGAGGGGGGAGGGGTTAGCGGGCAGTGGCCAGGTGCAGAGGAAAGGAGAAGAAGAGTCAAACAGCCCTGACGGCCTTGCACAACAAACAGAATTAACAAACAGACTCACCAGGGAGTGCTCTCTGCCGAAAACAAGAGTAAACACAACACTGGATCCATGCAGAACCGGGCAGGTCATACACCATCGCAAGTTCAGACCGACAGTCCTGGCCTCCCAGAATGAGACGTCGGATTTACTTAGACTTTGTGTTAGGGTTTACACTTCAGTCTTGTGATCTCAGAAGGCTTAACTCCGAAACCACGCTAGAACACGAACTTCCGACATGCTCGGTTTTACGAAACTACAAACTCGGGCAACTGCATTGTCACAGCTGTGCCGACCCCTCAAGCACCCCTCCGGCTGCCGACAACACCACCATGAATCCCACGATAGCAATAAATCCGCAGCACGAAATTCCCAAGCCCGAACCAGGACTCGAGATAGCCCACCCTCAACTCCTTTGAACCACCGGCGCCTTCCCCTTGCCTTTGGGATCGTTGCTGAACGCATCGGGCATCTCTTCGGGGGGCGGCCCGCCATTGATTGCTTCCTGTCCAGGTCGGAAGTCGAGAAGAGAACAACGCGGAATTTCCGGGTATGGATCTTAGGGTTTTCGTTGCAAGGCACAGGTTCAGGCTTTTGGGCCTTGGGTTCAGGTTCTAGAATATACACAACAAACGACAAGACTAGCAAGACATGCAAAATACACACAAGTATATCTACCTATTGTACCTTTCCATGAATCTATCTCTCTCTCTCTCTCTCTCACCATCTAGGCCTGATATGCAAACCGCGCAGCCTGCAATTTTCACCGGCCCGTCCTTGAAAAGCGGACATGACCCATTGATGTGTACTTTGAAAAGATTTCAGGATGCAGAGTCTTACAACAAAGAAGAAAGCTCCTCATGACCTAAGGCTTCGAGCTCCTGAAAACGCACGCTCGCGAGCCTCTTAGACTCTTGGTGGTCGTCACAATCTTGTCAACTGCGACTCCAAGGCCGAATCTCCCAAGCCTACGTTCCGCACGTTGCAAACTCGTGGAGCAGATACCTTGCGAGAGACCCAATCATGCTAGTTGCTAGCTGCTAGGGCAGGCTCCCAGACCCTCTCCACCTGCTCGACCTGGTAGGCGACCAGGGCCGCAGCGTTCAATGACTTCGCCTGCCACACCGTCACAGAGTGGCCCTCCAGTGCCATTCTGGTTCGAGTGCCAAGCAGACTCAAGTTCTCAGCGTTTGGGGAACCCAAACTACACCCAATCCCGACTGCCCGATTTTCAGGCAAGGGGAGTGAGTGAACTTGAGCTGCTTGTGCAGGATTCTGACACGTGACCAACACACACTGGATTCTCCATAGTCAGAGCCGGGGCGTCATCCTACAGCTTTCACTTGTTATTGCCGGTTCTGGGATGGCCGGTCTATGTCTATGTATTGGGGCAATGCGGCGCTCGAACATTATACACGTGTTGGTAACAAAAAACGTGACCCCCTGACATACCGTCGGTACTGATTGGCTCCCATAAAAAAGTGCCTTAAGGTGTTACGAAAGTGTATCGCAGTGTATCGGCTTCAGGGTTTTGTGGTTGTGACCGGCTGAGCTCTTGGCTCTGGAGCATTCTGCGGAGTGAGAAGGCAAGGAAACATAGCTTCTTCAAGTCCATGCCAAAAACCTTACATGCCATGCCGCGAGAAACACCCCAAATGCAAGCAGAACAACCGATAGCGCTCACCAGGGCTGTTGATGCATTCTCACGGGTTGTCGAAGGAGAAAAGTCAGCAGCGCAATCCGCACCACTGTGCTTCCGGGGATGTGCGCGCTATCCCGGCGAAGGCTGGGCTGAAGATTCGATCCCTTGAGCCCTCAACTAAACCCTCCTAAGGCTGTGATCACCGACTTGGTTTTGGGTTGGTCCAAAACGAGGGACCTCGCTTCGAGTTGGACTTTGTCGGGTTCGTTACAACAAAGAAGGAATCATGAATCCAAGAAGACACTGAGCTCAAAGCCCACGGTACGCCAAAACAGTGAGCCCAAACAGACTTAAATCATCGCTCTTGTCACAGTCCTCCACCGCAGTCTCGGTGCCAACAGCTCGAGCGAACTTGTTCTCCTGACAGATTCGGGCAGCATACCCACAACTCGGACTTCCAGGCTCGTGCTGGTTCACAGGGTTCGATTCTTCGGATCGCGGGCTTAGGATTTGGGTCCGTGTCAGGGCTCACCCTCTGCCTATCTGTGTCAGGTTGATGACATGCAGCGCTTTTGGTGTTTAGCTTTACATTGAATTTCACCCTGGTGCCCTGACTGAAACTATTGCTGGCTTGTGCTAAATGTATGCAGGCCTACGGCTTTGGGGCTTACGTACCCTACACCCAGAACTAAAACCCAAGCGTGAAGAACCGCACCCAAAGTCTTCAGTTCCCAAAGCTTGCTCTTGGGCAATCAATGCAACTTTCACGGCTGCAACAGCTCATACAGGGAGCTCCTAATTCCCCTACCCGTGGCAGGCGGACTCCACAGAGTTGTCGAACCTTCAAAGACAGTCTATCAACAACTGCCAACGTGTACCCTCCCTGTTCGGGCCAGAAGAAGCTTGAACCCCAAACGATCCGAAAATTGAGCCCGGAGTATTGAACATCATTGCGACCCGGTTCAGAGGCTTGCAAACCAGGTCAGAGCCCGGCAGGAAGCCTTGATATGAATACACTTACTCTTCATGTGGGGCAAAACCAGAAGCCAGTAAGCTTCTCGTTGAAACATTGAACCATCCCGCGACCTTGCACGCTGGACACATGCAGCCAGGCAGATGGCCCTGCTTGGCCTTCCAGGAACGTTAGATGAGGGTTATAGGGTGCAGGGCTGTTGTGCTTGTGTGGCGTAGCACACGCTATCATGAGACTAGGAAACTAATGTGCAAAACTACTCAAAAACTCGGAAGCCTTTCATGAACCCTCAAAGGGGTCTCATAGTCCTTCTTCATAGGTTGCCAGATAACTATCGGCCCATTGCCGGGATTCATAATAATTTCCTTCTCTGTACATACATACAGACAGACGAACAGCCAGCCAGAGAGATAGACAGACAGACAGATAGACACGTACATACACACGTACATATACATATACATATACATATACATATGCATATACATATACATATACATATACATGTACATGTACATGTACATATACATACACATATACACACATACACACATACACACATACACACATACACAAACACATACACACATACATACATACATACATACATACATACATACATACATACATACATGCATACATACACGTGTGTATGTGTGTGCTTCGGTGCGTCTATCTGTGTGTATACGCATGTCTGCATGTGTGTGTGTGTGTGTCTCTGTGTGTGTGTGTGTGTGTCTTGGTGCCTGTGTGTGTGTGTCCGCTGTCTGCGAGTCTTTGCGAGTGTGTGTGGGTGCTTGTCAGGGTGAACGGCTGGGGATTGATGTTAAAGTAAGATAGGGGCTTAAAATCAGCACAACCGGGTTTGCTGGACAATTGTACAAAAGACTTGTATGCCTTGAAGGGAGTGAAACTTAGAGACCCCTCCCTCTCTTGCATTGGAGCTGACTCTGAAGAGCAGCGACGACCCACCACTACCGAGCAATAAAAGCCTTTAACTGAGGCTTTCACCCCGGAGCTGGAAAACTTGGTGTTTTGGAGTTCGGGGTGTAGGGTCAGGCATGGGCTGGGTGTCCACCCACTGCTGGTCCCGCATGGTTGGGCAACTTCTAGCTGTTTTTTTCTGGAGAGGACGCTTTGCGGAAAGGGCTGAGAATGCGGGTCAGATGAGCCATGGCCGCAGCTCGCTTCCATGCACGCGCACACACACACACACACACACGCACAAATAGCTCGAAGCACCTACACCTACTTCACGGCTTGAGGCGGTGCTTCCTGTGATGAATTAGCTGTGCCTGTCTCAACAGAAGAGGCTAGAAGGGTCACAACATAGAACGAACCCAAACTCGCGCCAAGCTCGCTTTGCAATGCAGGCCTTCGCCTGAAAGCCACGTATGGCTTCCAGCTCGCGCAGTCGCGCCTGACATGGGAATTCCAACACTTCTGGGGCCTTCACCGGACGTCACTGAAGTTTTCCGGTTGAGATCAACAATGATTGTAGCCCTTGCCATACAGGTTTAACATTTACAGCCAATGCTTGCGGGAGTTCTGTCGATTTTGAAGTGTTCAGCGAGTGGTTTTTGAGTGCAAGAAGAAAGGCCAAAGGGCCCCATCGCTTGCCAGCTTACGTTTGCTGTTGACATCGAGACTTCAAGTGGTTCTAGATACCTAATGCCAGTGGACGCAGAGGATGCAGGACGTTGAAGCTGCATCGCTGTGTGGTTTTGTGAACTAAATTTCAGTCTCCCGTCTGGAGAAATCTGGGTTGACTGCCATGTGATTCATGGGTCCGATGCCCAAATCCCCGAAGCTCTAAATTAGTTTCAGCTTCCGGGCTCAGCGTTCATAGATTGCAGATGTCGGGCTTCAAGCGTCAGGTTGCCAATGGTGCCTCATTCCTGAAAACACACTGACTCCTAGCAAAGGCGAGAATGAGGACAACGGTACGAGCAGAAGCCAGAAAGGATGACGTTGGGTTAAGCTGGATGATCATTTAATCATCAGGAAACTCATAGTTTGCGGACACTTGGACATTTCATGTGAAAGCCGTCCCCAACTCTCACGGTTCTCTTCTCTTCTCTGCTCTAACCCCTAACACCCGGATGCTTGCAGGATCGAAGCACGGAAAGTTCGTGCGCGTGCCTCACAGTCCTCTTCGATTCTGGTCCAGAATCCCAAAACTCCAGTCCACGTGCCCTGGACTGGACTTAGCAACTCTGAAAGCAAGGGTTGACACGCTGTACACCCTCCCAAAATCCTAAAACCTTGACTACACTATAATATCTATATTCTGTCCCAGATTCATTTAGCTGCACAACCTGCACGAGCCTTGGGCTCTTTTGTGACCTTCTTGTAGCTTTTCAGTTTGGGGTCTTTGCATGTTCAACAAAGGTGTAGGGTGGGCGCTTTGGCACAAAATGAACCTTTCGATAGGCCCCAAGCACCCGCCTGCAGCAGCGACGTTGGATTCCGAGCCTCTTGTTGAAAAGCTCTGGATCTTCGGGTTTACTTAGGGTTCCGTGGCTCGTAGATAACCTTGGAGTACTTTGGAGTTTCCTTTATCGTCATCTCCGATTCAGGGCGACGGCGCGCTTGCGGTCCAACCAGGACGCACGGAGGCGGCGCCTCAAACCTTGTACACCAATAAAACCCTTGATTACCAAACCCTGAAACATGAAGCCCTCACCCTCAAGTCTGGCTCATCAACTGATGTGGAAAGGGCTTCGTGACAAGGAGGCTTGCCGACCCACCGACCGACCGCTGTTCTGTACCCCACAAATGTAGTTTCAACACCAGAACTGAAAGCCGTGGCCAAGCCTTGGAGAGGGCGTGATCCAGCTCGCGCAGATCCTGTGCCCATGTTTCGCCACACCTGGGCACAGTGAGGAGCCGTTCCAAACGGATTGAACTCCAACCTCCGGAGCTCGAAATCCAATTACCGCTAGCCCTACAAGCTTCGCTCGAAAAGAGCCCAGGCACATGGCCCTCTGTCTCGGAAGAGCAGCGAAGATTAGAGATTTGCACACGAACCGCAACGAAAACCTGAACCCACATGTTGACGCGAAACCGAATCTGCCCAACCTCTGAACAAATGACAGAACAAACAAGGGTTGATGTGCTGCACATGTGCGATTAATCGAGGTAGTGGTGCGCCTGGAAGTTTTACCCACAAAGCCTGCGCCGTAATAGTGCCAAGCGTCCATACTCTAAAGCTTTTAGAAATCCCAAACCTTAACTCGGAAAAGCTGACTAGACAAGCCAGTCATGCAGGCCTCGAGAAGGAGTCTGCGACTTTTTCTCGGTCGACTTCGACGAGTTCCTCGGAGTTCTTGGAGACAAGCCAACTCGTCTAAAGCATCACCTCCAACACCCGAAAGACCAGGCTTCCCTTCTGAAGCAGCCGCCTTCTACTGCTTACCGTTCGGACTTTGGCTTCGGCGTTTGAGCTCCAGAGTTCAGGGTTGTACCGTCATGGGACCGGATGTCGGGGCAAGCAACCCGCAAAAGTCAGCGGGTCTTTAGAGTATATGAGTGAGACAAAGAACAAGCGAACTTGATAAGCAGCCTTTTCAAGCCCAGGACAAACCTTTGTTTTGATGGCTGCAGGGTTCTGGCTCAACGAGGTTTCTCCGCCAAGCTGCGTATTTGTCGCAGAACTTTTGAACCTCCTCCTTGGCAACCAGGACTATGGTTCAATGTTTCAGGTAGCTCTTAGTCTACGTCGCCGTCGTCTTCGTCGTAGTAGTAGTAGTAGTAGTGGTAGTAGTAGTAGTAGTAGTAGTGGTCGTGGCAGTGGCAGTGGCAGTGGCAGTGGTGGCAGTGACAGTAGTGGTGGTTGTGGTGGTGGTAGGGGTAGTGGTAGTGGTGGTGGTGGTGGTGGTGGTGGTGGTGGTGGTGGTGGTGGTGGTGGTGGTAGTGGTAGTTTTAGTGGTATAGTGGTAATGGTATAGTGGCAGTGGTATAGTGGTAGTGGTTTTGTGGTAGTGGTTTAGTGGTAGTGGTAGCGGTGGTGGCAATGGTCGCAGTAATAGCAGCAGTAGTAGTAGTAGTAGTAGTAGTAGTAGTAGTGGTAGTGGTAGTCGTAGTCGTAGTCGTAGCAGTAGTAGTCGTCTTGGCACTATTATGACTATAAGTAACAGTCGTGGTGGCGGTAGCGGTAGCAGTAGCGGTAGAGTGGCAGCGGTAGCAGTAGTGGTGGTGCTAGTGTTAGATAAAAGTAGTACTAGTAGTAGTAGTAGTAGTAGTAGTAGTAGTAGTAGTAGTAGTAGTAGTAGTAGTAGTAGTAGTAGTAGTAGTAGTAGTAGTAGTAGTAGTAGTTAGTAGTAGAAGTAGTAGTAGTAGTAGTAGTGGTGGTGGTGGTGGTGGTGGTGGTGGTAGTAGTAGTAGTAGTAGTAGTAGTAGTAGTAGTAGTAGTGGTAGTAGTAGTAGTAGTGGTAGTAGTAGTAGTAGTAGTAGTAGTAGTAGCAGCAGCAGCAGCAGTCGTGGTGGTGGTAGTAGTAGTAGTAGCAGTAGTACTAGTAACAGTGGTAGGCGGTCGTGGTAGTGGTAGTAGCGGTAGTAGTGGAGTAGTGGTGATAGTGGTAGTAGCAGCCGTCGCTGTCGCCGTCGCCGTCGCCGTCGTTGTTGTTGTTGTTGCTGCGGCTGCGGCTGCGGCTGCTGCTGCTGCTGCTGCTGCTGCATTTCTTGCGCTTATTGCTGTCGTTGCTGTTGCTGTTTCTTGAAGTTGGTGCTGCTGCTGTGGATCCCTGTTGGTTTTGGTGGCGACAGTGACGGTCGCCGCCAAAGTAAACAAGCTTATGGTGCTGTTATGATTAGGATGATGATAGTAACGATCTTGTGCTTCTTTATGTTGCTCGATTT